TATGCAGACAGTTTATATTCATGCTTCAAGTATGTACTCAAAGACCACATAATACCACCATTTGAAAACCTTGGACGCAGACCATGAAAAGCAATGGAAATAATAATTTGATGACATCTGTAGGGGAGAGACTCCGCATTTTGGATGAAGGCCATATTCTATGTTTGGATTCAGAAGAAAAAAATATATAATACAACATATATGGATCTTAAGAACGGCTCTAACAAAACCCTAAAGTTGGAAGAAACTTGCAAAGGTCATCCATTCCAACCTTTGTCCACAATGTAGGAAGACACAATCAAAGCACCCCCAACAGATGGCCACCCAGCCTCTGTTTCCAGACCTCCGGAAAAGGAGACTTCGCCCAGGCAGTACATTCCACTGTTAAACAGCTCTGACCCTCAGAAAGTTCTTCCTAAAGTTTAATTGGACTCCTTTCCTTGGAGGTTGAACCCACTTTTTTGTGTCCTAGTTTTTGGGGCACCAAAACACAGCCTTGCTCCATTTTCGGTGAAACATCTTTCAAATAGTTAAACACAGCTATCACACCCCCTGTGATAACACAGCTATCACAGCAGGGTCCCCTGGTGGCACAGCGGGTTAAACCGCTGAGCTGCTGAACTTGCTGACTTAAAGGTTGGCAGTCAAATCCGGGGAACGGGGTGAGCTCCTGCTGTTAGCCCCAGCTTCTGCCAACCTAGTAGTTCGAAAACATGCAAATGTGTGTAGATTAATAGGTACCGCTTCTGCAGGAAGGTAACGGCACTGCAGTCATGCAGGCCGCATGACCTTGGAGGTGTCTATGGACAACGGCGACTCTTCGGCTTAGAAATGGAGATGAGCACCAGCCCCCAGAGTAAGGCACGACTGGATGTAATGTCAGGGGAAACCTTTACTTTTACTTATCACATCCCCTCTCAACCTTCTCCAGCTCAAAAGCATATAGGGCTGACCCCAAGGGAACGTGGCCCTTGAGCCCACTTTTGTGACCCCCCCCCCCCGAGCCACCCATCCATCTGCCAAAGTCCTGGTTTTGAAAAAGCAATATATTGGTATAAACTGGGGCAATATTTGACTCAGAACTACCCAACAGAAGAAAACACATAAAAAATCCCAAATGCCACCCTCAACAAGAACCCCAGAAATCCATATCACATTTCTGTTTTCCTCCGCAGTTGCTTCAAAATGTTAACAGAGGGATTGAAAGGCCAGGATCCGGAAGTGCAAAGCTTGCCACTGAGAGCAAATGGATCTTGCCAAAACCTCTGCTTTTAGAAAATTTGAAACAGGGGGAGCCATTTCAGTGACTTTGTCTAGGAAGAGGGAACATTTCTCCACAGTTTCTCTCTTTTTTATCATGTCAGAAGCAAATTGAGAACATACTGCATGTTGCTTCTGGTGTGAGAGAATCAACCATCTACAAAGATGTTGCCCAGGGGACACCCAGATATGTTACCATCCTGTGGGAGGCTTCTTTCATCTCATAGAATCATAGAGTTGGAAGACACCTTATGGGCCATCAAATCCAACTCTCTGCCAAGAAGCAGGAATATTGCATTCAAAGCACCCCCGACAGATGGCCATCCAGCCTCTGTTCGAAAGCTTCCAAAGAAGGAGCCTCTACCACATTACGGAGCAGAGAGTTCCACTCCTGAACAGCAATCACAGTTAGGAAGTTCTTCCTAATGTTCGGATGGAATCCCCTTTCCTGTAGTTTGAAGCCATTGTTCCGCATCCTAGTCTCCAGGACGGCAGAAAACAACTTCGGTCCCTCCTCCCTGTGACTTCCTCTCACATATTTGTACATGGGTATCATGTCTCCTCTCAGCCTTCTCTTCTTCAGACTAAACATGCCCAGCTCTTTAAGCTGCTCCTCATAGGGCTTGTTCTCCCGACCCTTGATCATTTTAGTCGCTCCCCTCTGGATACATTCCAGTTTGTAAATATCTTTCTTCAGTTGTGGTGCCCAGAACTGGACAAAATATTCCAGGTGTGGTCTAACCAGATCAGACTAGAGGGGTAGCATTACTTCCCCTCTATTCTGCCTTCGTTAGACCACACCTGGAATACTGTCCGCATGGTAACTTCCATCTTAGTAGAGAAGTGAGTTACCATCTGTGGGAGGCTTCTTTCATCTCCCTGCATGGGAAGCTGGGGCTGACAGATGGGAGCTCACCCCGTCTTGCCGGATTCAAACCGTCGACCTTCAGGTCAGCAGTTGAGCCGGGACAAGGGTTTAACCCATTGCTCCACCTTAAATTGATTTCGTCCATCCCCCCCCCCCCCCCCCCCCCCCCCACTTTAAGGACTATTTTTGATTTTTCATTCATTGCTGCCCGCTTCCATCTCAGTGGAGCAGTGACCCATGCTGAGTTTTAATCTCAACTTTAAAAGATCCTGTCTGCAGGGCTGAGCCATATTCCCAAAATAGGCTCCTCACCTTGGATAGCTCTTTCAAAGTTCACACTTAAACCCAGAGCGCATTAACCGCTCCAATGAAACAGAAGACCCCCGGCTTGAAGTTTCTATGAGTTGTGCTTCCGTTGTCTCTTGAAGCCATTTCACATTTTCCCTAGATCTCTGGAACAGACGTCCCTATGTGGCATTCTTGGAAGGAAATGGCAAAGCCCATGAAATGTAGTGAGTAATATCTGGAAAATATTCTACTATGTGATCTTCTTTTATTCTTGAAAGCAGTGAGAAGAAAAATCTGCATGTAATATTTATTTGGGGTGGCAAAGAGGGGGACACCACATATCCTTTGGAGAATATTCATTGCTTGGTGATAGGTAAGCAGCGATTGTGCATCTGTTTTCTTCCGATGGTTGGCTCCGTTCCTGCCTGATACTAATAGCAGTGACAATTTTGTAACAACAAGCCACTGGCATGAGAAGCCTAGCATCTCTGGGAACAGATGGTGGACAACCACTTTGGCAGGTTAATTTTAGGCTGTGGTAGATGCTTGCTCTGTCAGCAAGGCTTCCATGTCAGAAAGGAATACGGAAAATACGGGCAACAGAAAGCTGAGCCAACCAAGGCATGAAGAAATGCAGAATGGTTTCCAAATGAGACAAGAGTTTTAGCCTGAACTTGAATGGTTTTATCCAAGGTGCTGAATCCAATCCCATGGTATAGCTTTGGCTTCTTGGAAAGATCTCCAAATATTTGTTTGAAAGCTCATGGTATATCATTGTGAAGTTGAAAACTACTGCAAAACTCTCCAAGTATTCCAGATGTGATGTTTGGAGGTAGATATTAAGCACCCCACAAAAGAAAGCTGGCTCTTGAAGCCCACTTGAGGGACTGCATCTCCTTGTATCAACCCACAACATTGGGGGAGGCCCTCCTCTCAGTCCCACCACCATCATAAGTACGGTCGGTGGGAATGAGAGAGGGGGCCTTTTCAGTGGTAGCCCCACAGCTCTGGAACTCCCTCCTCGAAGAGGTACGTTCAGACCTCATTATTGGCCTTCTGCTACCAGGTGAAAATCTTTTTATGGAAGCAGGCCTTCCCAGACAACACATAAGAGAAAACTCACATGGACAAAGACTTGGAGCTCTGAGTTGTTTAGTTTAATGTTTTAACTTGATAGGAGAACAAGAGTAGAGATTTTAATATTTTTTTCATGTCAGGAGCGACTTGAGAAGCTGCAAGTCACTTCTAGTGTGAGAGAATTGGCCATCTGGAAGGACATTGCCCAGGGGACGCCTGGATGTTTTTTTCCATCTTGTGGGAGACTTCTCTCATGTCCCTGCATGGGACACTGGAGCTGACAGACAGGAGCTCACCCAGCTCCCCAGATGCGAACCACCAACCTTTCAGTCAGCAGTCCTGTTGGCCCAAGGGTTTAACCTATTGTATGCGATTATTTGTGATACTTATTTATATTTATGTAACTTGTGTTTATGCAAGGTATGTAATTATTGTTTATATGTTGGGTGGGTGGGTTGACGGGATTTTCTTTCTATTAAGTTGTCTTTTTATTTTTTTATGCCACTTTGAGTCCCATCCGTGGGAGAAAAGCAGAATATAAGTTAATAAATAATGATAAATAAATAATTGTTGTTCCTTCAAATAACAGTGAGATCAATGAAATTGGAAAGGGCTGCCATCTTTCCTTTGCCTGAGCAAAGCTTTGCATTTCAGTTGTCCGTTAGATTTTTATTTATTTATTTACGACATTTATATGCCGCCCTTCTTACCCTGAAGGGGACTCAGTGGCTTACAAGATATATATACATACAATATATTGTATTATTAGCATAGTACGATATCAGTATTATATATTACTATATTGTACGATACCATTATATTTTAATATTATTAGTAATATTACATGTAATATACATATATAATTATAATATTGTATTATTATTAGCATTATATTGCATTACATTATAATTTTATAAATATTATATGTATATACAATATATTATATTATACTAGCTGTACCCACCACGCGTTGCTGTGGCCAAACTTCCCTCCCTCTATCTCTCCTCCTTTCTTTCTTTTCCTCCTTCCGGATATGCAGATATGCTATTGTGTGTGTGTGTGTGTTGGCCAGGAGAGTTGTTTTTGCACATGCGCTGTAGCATATTTTTGCTTTTTTGGCTTTTAAAGTCCCCTACATTATGTTTTTCAATGTTTTTATGAGTGATGGTCACGTTGGTCTGTTAGGGGTGTAGTGTCCAAATTTGGTGTCAATGCATCCAGTGGTTTTTGAGTTATGTTAATCCCACAAACAAACATTACATTTTTATTTATATAGATTATATTATTAGTAAAGCACAGGAGAGAAGATGGGACTGTCTTCTGCCCCCCTCTCTTTTTACTCTGGCAGACTATTATGAGCCAAACACCAGTGCCATAACCCATCCTGAACCACCCAAGAAAAAGCTTCCCTTTGAATACGAATAAGCAAAGCATCACATATATCCACAACTACTTAACCGATGCATTGATTTAAGACTTAGGCAACCTTGGGTTCAAACGGCCTCACCTGCTTCCCATCCAGGGTGTAGAGCTTCTTAACCACTCCTGTCTCCAGCTTTATGGCTTCTGTGATGTCGGTGAGGACTTGCTCGAAGGAGTGGGCAGTCTTCTTATTCAGGAGCACCCGGACAGCCTTCCTCGGCTTCACCCCACTGCGGATGATGGTCACCAGCTTGGGCCGCACAAAATCTTTGTTCTCCCTGGCCTGGGCACTGTTGCTGCTGGCCAGAGACTGGGGCGCCTTGACGCTGGCGGAGGTTTTCACATTGACGGACCAGTTAGGGTTGACATTCTTGGTATACTCCACTTTCTTGAAAAAGTTGTCCGAGGAACAGACGTAGCTTTCACCTTTGGGGGAAACAAGAAATAGGGAAATATTTAGAAATCACATTGGTGGTGTTCGGGGCATCACTTCTTTTCCCTACCACAGACACCTTGGGAAGTCTGATCTGGTTATGGTGGTCCACACTCTGGTTACATCCCGAATAGATTACTGCAATGCACTCTACATAGGGTTGCCTTTGAAGACTGTTCGAAAACGGCAACTAGTCCAACGGTCGGTAGCCAGACTGCTCACTGGAGTGCCATACAGGAAGCATACCACCCCCCTGTTACATCAACTCCACTGGCTGCTGGTCCATTTACGAGCACAATTCAAAGTGCTGGTCTTAGCCTATAAAACCCTATATGACTCCGGCACAGCTTATTTGTCCGAACGTATCTCCCTCTACGTTCCGCCTCGTAGTTTAAGATCTGCCGGGGAGGCCCTGCTCTCGGTCCCATCAACTTCGCAAACGCAGCTGGTGGGGACGAGGGACAGGGCCTTCTTGGTAGTGACCCCCTTGTCTGTGGAATTCACTCCCCAGCGAAATTAAATCAGCGGCCTCCCTCCTTTCTTTCAGAAGAAAACTGAGAATGTGGTTGTAGAACCAGGCTTTTGGCTAATGGATATAACGGCACCTAACAGTGAATTGGACCAGACGACGATTGTTATAATGGAAACATTTCTATGATTGATAATTAATGTTGTTTTAATGTGTTGTATTGGTATGATTTTATTCTGCTTTTATAATTGTAAGTATTGCGGCATCGAATCGCTGCCATTGTGAGCCGCTCTGAGTCCCCCTGCAGGGGTGAGAAGAGCGGGGTAAAAATGATGTAAATAAAATAAAATAAATAAAACTTGCCCCCAGTAAAAGCTCAAATCCTAATGAGACAATTCAATTACTGGTCAAAAATAAACCAGATGAATCCCAGTAGACTTCCATGCCTATGTCTAGAGGACCAAGTCCAGTGTGACCAAAAGTCATCTTGGATAGTGGCTCTAAATAATGAGTTGGCTAAAATCGGCCTGCCTTTACAATTTCTGAATGATCTAGGACCTAAGGCAAAACAAGTACTCATGCAACACACTCGAGATATCTATGCTCAACTGGACCTAGCAAGCATAGGTAGGTTTTCTACCACAAGGTTTTTAGCTTCGCACAAAAGAAATATTCATTTAGAATACTATCTGACGATCCCACTTCTAGAACATGGCCTACAACAACCCAGTGATGCCAGCCATGAAAGCCTTCAACAATACTTTATCCCACTTTTGTTACCTTTAAGAAGAATATATACTAGGGCTAGGTTTGAACAACTCGGTATAATAATAATAATAATAATAATAATAATAATAATAATAATAATAATAAATTATTTATTTGAACAGTCATATGTGTTGTTATTGTTATTGTTATTGTTATTATTATTATTATTACCACAGATAACTGTGCCTCAGTCCTGTAATGCAATTCTATGGTCAATGTCCACTGGAAGTTGACCACACTCATGCTGGAGGACCTAGAAAGTGTCCAAGATACTCTGGCAGAAAGCTGGCAGCTTTCAATTCCTCTTCTGTTTCCCCTACATTTTTTTTCTGCAAAGCTCATACCCTTTATTACTGAGGATATTTTCCATGACTACGAATAAAAGCAACTTCTTAGCAGTATAGATAAGGAACAAATCTACTTTCAAAACAGTCCAAAAAGATTACAACCTAAATATGCATATTCGAGGGAATTCTATTCTGGATTTTAAAAAAAATAGAAAACACGTTTCCATGTACAGAATGGGAGATCATCAAGATAAGAGAGAAAGACAGATCCCGATTAACAATTGGACAGTGTTTCTCAACCTTCCTAATGTTGCTTAATACAGTTCCTCATGTTGTGGTGATCCCCAACCATAAAATTATTTTCATCGCTACTTCATAACTGTAATTTTGCTACTGTTATGACTCGTAATGTAAATGCCTGGTATGCAGGATGAATTTTCATTCACTGGACCAAATTTAGCACAAATACCCGATATGCCAAAATTTGAATACTGGTGGTGTTGTGGGGGATTGATTTTGTCATTTGGGAGTTGCAGTTGCTGGGATTTATAATTCACCTACAATCAAAGAGCATTCTGAACTCCACCAATGATGGAACTGAACCAAACATGGCATACGGAATTCCCATGACCAACACAAAACATTGGAAGGGTGTTACGGATTCCTCATCTACAGAGGAGGAAGGTGAGCAGGGAAGTGCTCAGGAATTGGAGAAAGAAGAAGAATCAGATGATGAACGTTTGAAAGTGCCCACATTTCTAGAGAGACAAAATGAGACAGAGCACAGATGGCGTTCAGCCAGAATAGCTGCTAAAAATGCTGAGCTAATTGGGAGACGCCCTAGCACCTCCTGCATGGGGAATTCACTGCTATAAATTAGAAGCAGGAGCAGTCAGCTTTCATGGTAACGACCCTGATACTGCTGTTTTCACTCCAACGGAATCTGTTTTGTGTCTGCTGCTAAGGACTTAGTTCATTGCCCGTTGTCTGAAGAAAGACTGGTGTTTCTTTTGGGACCTTGTAAGAGACTTTGTGTCTGGTTTAAGACTTCCTTGCTTTCATTTGCACTTTTCAATTGCATTTGCTTGCCCTTTGTGTTTGCTGAAGTAAAGCATTTTTCTTTTACTTTCAACATTGTCTAAAGGGCAATGTTTTTGAAGTGCAATTCAAGACAAAGGGATTGGTGGGCATTGACCTTAAGTTTTGGAGTTGTAGTTCACCTACATCCAGAGAGCACTGTGGACTCAAACAATGATACAACAGATCTGGACCAAACTTGGCATGAATACTCAATATGCCCAAATACTGGTGGCGCTTGGGGAAAATAGACATTAGGGAGTTGTAGTTGCTGAGATGTATAGTTCAACTAAAATCCAAGAGCATTCTGAATCCCACCAACAATAGGGGAGGGACATTTCTGAGACTTGGGCCAAACTTCCAGAAACACAGAACCCCCATGGCTTGAAGGGACTCACTGGCACAAGCCTCCCTCCAGCCTCACACACTCTCCCTCGGCCACACATGCGCAGGACACTGTCATACACTGAGCATGAATAATCTCCCCTCCCCACTTGGAGTCTCAGAAATGGCCCTCCCCTTGGCTAAGAGGCCATCTGAGAGGCCAGCCAATCACAACAGAGGAGGGCTTTTGGTGGGAGGATTTGCCGTCTGTTTCCAAAAATGAAGAGAAGGGCAGACGGAGGGATCTTCAGCCTTCTCTTACAAAAGACTTCCTAAGATCATCAGAAATATGTGTTTTCTGATGGTCTTTGGTGACTCCTCGACCCCCACCCCCCCCCCCCCCCCGGTTGAGAAACACTGTTCTGGGGACAGTTTCTTGGACTGGAAAGCTGTTCCGGGGAACACAGGAGCCATGGTGAATACTGTTTGTTATCCTGTTGGTAAGCATCTAAAAAGATGTTCAAGACTGCAACAATTATTAGTACGGTAATCATCACAATGAGTTTGAACTTTCTCCACTTTGTTGCGGTCTTAAGCACATACGACCACACACCGGTTCAGGTTTGTCCTTGCATGTCCTTCCCCAATCGCAACAAGCTCAGGAAGTGGATGGAGAGACTCACTGTATTCAACATATGGCAAGAACTGTAATAGGTTTAGAAAACGAGGAAGCCTCTAATAAGCTTATGGCCAACGGACTCTGGTATTTGGCTCTCTGTGGTTTGTCCGTCTCTAATACCAATTCTCTGGTAGAAAAACAGTGTTCAAGTAAAACAAACACCAGTAGGAAATGTGCATGTGTTATTGAAGGTGCCACATATATATTATATCGTCATACACTATGTAAGTGTTTCTCAACCTTCCTAATGCCGTGACCCCTTAATACAGTTCCTCATGTTGTGGTGACCCCCAACCATAACATTATTTTCATTGCTATTTCATAACTGTAATTTTGCTATTGTTATGAATGGTAATGGTAAATATCTGATATGCAGGATGGATTTTCATTCACTCGACCAAATTTGGCACAAATACCCGATACGCACAAATTTGAATACTGGTGGGGTTGGGGGGGGGGGGAATTGATTTTGTCATTTGGGAGTTGTAGTTGCTGGGATTTATAGTTTACCTACAATCAAAGACCATTCTGATCTGTACCAATGATGGAATTGAACCACACTTGACACACAGAACTCCCATGACAAACAGAAAATACTGGAAAGGTTTGATGGGCATTGACTCAGTTGGTAATGGGTGTTCTGTGTGCCAAGTTTGGTTCAATTCCATCCTTGGTAGAGTTCATCCTTGGTGGGGTTGGGGGAGTTCATTTTGTCATTTAGGAGTTGTAGTTGCTGGGAATTATAGTTCGCCTACAATCAAGAAGCATTCTGCACCAACGATGGAAGTGAACCAAACTTGGCACATAGAACTCTCATGACCAACAGAAAATACAGGAAGGATTTGATGGGCATTGACCTTGAGTTTTGGAGTTGTAGTTCACCTAAACCCAAGGGAGCACTGTGGACTCAAACAATGATAGATCTGGACCAAATTTGGCACAAATCCTATATGCCCAAATGTTAACACTGGTGAATTTTGGGGAAAGTAGACCTTGACATTGGGGAGTTGTAGTTGCTGGGATTTATAGTTTGCCTATAATCAAAGAGTGTTCTGAACCCTACCAATGGTAGAATTGTGCCAAACTTCCCACACAGAATCTCCATGTCTTGAGACTCACTGGTGCGAGTCTCCCTTCAGCCTAACACGCTCTCCCGCGCCCGCACATGCCCACCATGCTGCCATGTGCTGAGCATGCCTGCTCTTCCCTTCCCACTTGGAGTCTCAGAAAGCACTCTCCTTGGTTGAGAGGCTTGCCAATCACAGCGGAGGAGGGCTTTTGGTGGGATGATTTGCCATCTGTTTCCAAAAAGGAAGAGAATGACAGACAGAGAGATCTTCAGCCTTTTCTGCCAAATATTTGTTTTCTGATGGTCTTTGGTGACCCCTC